TCAAAGAGATATGCAGAAGTTCGCGCTTAATAAATTTCCAAAACGTGTAAACCAAAAGCCACACTAAATGGCGAACACTTGACCACCGGCGGAGCTACAAGTTTTAGGGGCGAGCTATTATGGCCCAACAAGAAATAACACAGGAATCTCACCGGTATAGCTCATTAAATAAAAAAAAACATAATAACCGAGTGAAACGCGTCAAAACTCACATCATACTTTGGCGCAAACATTGAAATCTTTGGGAAATTGAGTACTCCATAATTGATGAGCGATTTCAGTGTGAGAAATCTCACGATCCTGTTCAATTCGTTTACATACCAAATACGTGCAAGGCCACGACAAATCACAAACGGAATGCAGTAATCCACAGTAAGATACTGCTGAAACAGATATAAAGATGAACACAGAGATGCAGAAGGTATGAAAAAATAAAGATTGCCCACACATGAAAAGAAGCCGATGGTACATACGTGTTCGGTTTACACACGCTGCTAAAACTAATGCATGTGAAGAAATGTGGAAAAGCAGCGCACTGCATGCACACCAGCATTACCAACACCGCACCCGTAACAGGCAGGGAGTTCCTGTGTTACACTGCTATAAATCTGCATGCCGTGCGCAGCTATGCCAAATTTTTACCTACCCCGAGCTGCACATCTCCGGTTAGTACTCATCCCTTGTATGACGAATGTATGCACATCGAAAGATGCCAAAGTGCTTTCCTGTAGGTACCGCCCACTGTAATGCAACCAACACCTGCTGTGACAATGCACAGACGCATGGGAATTTCGTGCGTGGTTGCAGCGATACGCAGCATTCATAATACGGAAAAAAATGCACAACAGTTCTTTTCCTGCAGACCATACTAGTTATTTCAAAAAGGCAACAGGAAAAAAAAACATACGAAAGGATTGAGAATCCAAAGTGCAATTACAAGATTCCGCATTGCTAAATAGGCGACCGGTTCGGTGACATATTCCGGGAAACTCTGCATCTCATCATGTTCCATAACATCAGGTCGCAAACAAAACGCCATCGACTGCTCGTGCGGTATGTTGAATGGACACATAAAACTTCGTGCTGCACCTTCTGCAAAGCAATCACAAGAGTCAGCGCATTTATATGTATATCCAAACAGTTACCGATTATCGCTAAGACGATGTCTGAATCTAAACAAGCATCCATTCAAAGTGAGTGACGATAGTTAGGAAATGTTCTGCAACGCTTTCTTCCTCTTCCATTCGTACAAACTGGGACGTCAATGCTTTTTTTTTTT